GTTAGAGCCTCCCAGGTAAACCAGAAATGAGACATGAACAGACAAGTTTCCTCCCTCCTGATGTTGATACCTCCTAGCCTGGGCCAGCGGCACAGCCCCAGGTGTCTCCTGACCATAAAGAGAGATACAGAAATACCCAGCTTCACCAGCCCATGAAATCCCTCATCGCTAACCCTCAGAGCAGAGTGGGCCCCTCTAATACTGCAGGTGAGAGAAAGGCTTGGTGCAAGGCACACAGTGAGGATGCTGTGGGATTTGAACCCAGGACTCTGGTGCCAAATCCATTCCGTGTCCACGGAGGTCTGACTGCTCTTAGGAGTGCCTGACTCGTGATTTTACCTGTGAGGACGACCGACAGCTGACTTGTGGGCTGAGTCATCCTTCTTGCTTCCTCCTGGGTATTAGACACAGTAGAGGCACGGGGAGTCTGAGAGGGTGGCATGAGAGCTACACAGATCTGGGCTGGACTCTTTCCCACCACTTATGATGTGACCTTGGGAAGGTCACAAGCCCCTGGGTGACTCAGTCCAATAAGGGGGTGAGTCTAGAACAGCAGTTCTCAGTCTGGGATGAACTTAGACTCATCCTGCCATGGTGGTGGTGGGGCCATCGAGTCGGTGCTGATTCATAACGACCCTGTAGAGGGTATCTGAGGAACAGCTGGTGGGTTTGAACCACTGACCTTACAGTTAGCAGCCCAGTGCTTATCGTACAGCGCCACACTAGGACTTCAAGATGTTCGGAGCTTGTAAAAATACTTTTTTCCAACTCCAAAGAGTCCTGTCTCATCAGCTTGGGGTAGGACTCAGCATGTTTTATTTTAAAGCTCTCAGGAGATTCTACTGTGCAGCCAGGTTGAGAAGCATTCATTTTTAGGTTTTCCAAGGACAAGTTTTGCCAGCACTATTCTAGATGGTTCCCTGGGCCATGAGATCCTATTTACCCAGGGATCAGTTGGACAGCCCCTCCTATTCCAGGACCTCTCAGACCCTTAACCCCAAGATTAGAAGCTGGGTTTCAGCACCACAGACGGAGAATAGCTCCTCCCAGCCAGTCCTAGTCCTGTAGTTTTGACTTGAACCTGGTTGTCCTGAGGGAAGGCCCTGAACCTAGCTCCTTTTCTTTTCCCTCCTCTTGCCCCCTCCTCCTTTCTCTGGTACTTGTCTCTCACTCGCCCATCTATTTCCGCTATCCATTCTCTCCTCCCACCTCTAAGGCAGGATACAGTGGGTTTTGACATCAGACAAGGCTGAGTTTGAATCCTGACTCTCCTACTCCCTGGCTAGTTGAACTTGTTGCTTACCATCACTCAACCTTCATTTCCTCATCTGTAGACATTTTAATAAAGTTTAGTTCAAGACGTTATTGCATAAATCCCATGAGATCATATATACAAAGGGCTTATCATTGTATCTAGCATGAAGTAGTAATTCAATATATGGTAACAACCACTATCATTGGTGAGGCATTGAGGTAGAATTCTCACCTTCCCTGCGGGAACCCCAAGTTCAATTCCCAACCAACATGCCTCAGACACAGTCACCACCACCTGCCACTGGGGTCTTGCATGTTGCTAAGATGTTGGGCAGGTCTCAGCAGAACTTGCAGGCTAAGAAAGACTAGGAAGAAAAGCCTGGCCATCTGCTTCTGAAAACCTTATGGATCACAGCAGTTGGATCTAATCATGGGGATGGCTCAGGACTGGACAGTGTTTCATTCTGTTGTGCAGAGTGACTCAGGGGCCGATGCCATGACAGCTAACAACAACATCATCATTATCATTATTATTGAATAATGATATATAATTATAATGGGATTCATTATGAATTCATATTTCACACTTGACAGTGCTTAACAGTTTCCTCAGCTATTAAGTGGAGAAGATGCAGTGGTGTTGCTGGAGCCGGCTTGGAACCAAGCTCACGAGACCCCAATATTGATTTTAGGAGTTTTCTGAGCCAGGCGATGTCCCATTGCTAGCCTGAAAGCGTCTGTGGTGGAACATTTACACCATAGAAATCATCAAACATTACAAAGCAGGGATTCCTGACCCCTAGAGCCAATGATTAAACATTTTCCAGCACACCGCTGCCTCTACATCATGGAGGGGAGAGACTGGGCACAGTGGTCCATTGCAACATGTCAACTGCTGAACCCAGGGAGGTGACCCCTGAGGTGGCCTCAGAGCAGCCACAAGTCTGGCACTTTTGGTCTGCCATGGGGAGCTGCTGCTTTGTGAAGGTGGTAGGAGGGTTGTGTGGCCTCAGGAAGTCATTCCCCTGGGGCCTGGGGCGCTGGTGGTGAATCACTGACCCTTCGCCATTCCCAGGTGTAGGTATTAACTGTAATGGCTGCAATAAAGAATCCTGGATTGAGGAAATGATTCCATCATCCCTGCGGGAGTCCCTGGGATGCAGCCAGGAAGAGAGAGAGAGTGAGCTCTGCTGTGTCCCCAGGGAGTCATTCAAGCCAGCCTTGCCTAGGAGATGGGGGAGACAGGCTGGGGGAGTGTCAGGGAGACCCTCTCTCTTAACAGTTACAACAGCCGCTATTCATTGAGTACCCCCCATGCACTTAATGCTTTGTACATCGTCTCCCATTTCAATACCTCTGTGAGGGAGGCGTGGTTGTACCACTGTATAATGCGATGCAGTGCCTCCTGAGATGACAACCACAACTTGCATTATTGAGTGCTCAGGAGACAGGCACTGGCCTTGGTACTGAACATGGAAATCTATTTGAATTCTCACAACACTCCCAGGAGTTTGATAGTACTTTTCTCCATTTTATAAATGAGAACACTGAGGCACAGAGGAGCCTTTGGCATGCCCAAGGTCAAACTGCTACTAAGTAGCAGAGCCATCAGGCCACCAGGCTCCCCGCCCCTCCCCCCGTCCCCATCCCCAGAGTCACTGCCTACGCTGAGACCAACACCCAGAAGAACTTTGTCGTCAGTGAGTCCTGGGTTCGAACCTCACCACTTTCTCACTGAGTGCCTGGGTGAGGTCTTTTCCTCTGTGACCTTTTTCTTTGAGGGCCCCACTTTGCTCTCAGAGATGCTCTGAGGATTCAAGATGATGAATTTAAGGGACTCCATAAGCGGGGCATGTAGTGGGTGCTCAGCAGTGGGTAACCCTCTCTGTGTATGGTCAGGAGGCAGCTAGGACTATGCTCTTGGCCCTGAGTCAAAAACCCCTGGGGAGGCTCATCAGAAGGGAGGGGGCTTATCCACACCTCTTCCTAGCTTCTCCAGGTAACTTATATGAAGCTCAATCTGCCAGAGAGAGAGGCGCATTGCAGGGCCCGTTTAGGAAGCACATGCTGGGAGGGGAGACCCGGAGAAGGAAATGAGAAATGCAAAAGAGTGAAAAATAAATACATGTGTCTGTCTGGAATGATCGAGGGCCCCAGGCTGGAGGCGGGAGAGGCGGGTGGCGGGCTGGGCTTAACAGAATTGCTGCAGTAACACTTCCAGACTCTCCCTTATTAGCCAGGCAGTGAACTGGCCTCAGCTCTCTGCATGCAGCCTGCTAGCCAGGAGAGCCCCAGCCCAACCCCAAAAGAGCCCCATCCAAAGTTTCAGCAGGCCTAGGCCTCACCCTACCCCCAGCAGGACACCCAGAAGAGGGCATCTCCCTGGAAGTGTGGGGTATAAATCTTATCCCCCCAGTGGGCCACAGCCTGAGCCCCAAGACCCCCTTCTTTGGCTGTCCAGCTCACCCCTTCTCTGGGAAGATTCAGATGGACCAGACAGCTTTGCCAGACCCTCCATGTGACCCCTCCCCCAGCCCACCACTGCCCTGTCCAGCCTCACGTCCCAAGCTCTGCTTTCGTCAAATTGAACATGATGTCAAATTAGAGCCATCTCTGGGACAGGCCAAGAGAAGCTCCCAGTTTAATGAGGCAGCGTCGAAAATCAATAACTTAATTGCCGCTGTTTGATGGACTTTTATCCAATTTATACTCTCCCCAGCAGCGTACGTGCAGAGCATAAGGAGGAGTTGGTGGGGGTGACTGTCTGGGCACCCAGGAAGGAGGGGCAAGGAGGGCACCAAGGCCCACAGCTATCTACCTCCCAAAGGGAAAGCAGTGAAATGCTGTCCTCCTGCCCAGGTGCCCCAGGGCCAGGGGACTCTGGGCTGTGAACTTCCAAGGTACCCTGTTGGCCCTCAGGGGCAGGAAGGGATATATGCCCCAGGGAAGGTGAACTGCTTTTAAGAGTCAGAGGGGTGAAAAGGTACTAGGAGTTAGGTACCTGCTTCCTGTCCTGCCTCCAACTTTGACTTTGAGGATCTTAAGTAACAGAGTGGAAATGATGGTTGTTAACAAAACTCATAGGTGTGGCACTGTAAAATAAGCACCGGACTACAAGGTCAGTTTGAATTGCAAGGTCAGTGGTTCAAATCCACCTGACGCTCCTCAGAAACTCTATATAGGGTCACTAAGAGTCAGAACTGACTTGACCACACTTAACAACCACCACCACCACCACTCATTAAAAGAGCCCTGGGGCCACAAGAGTTAAGGATTTGACTGCTAACTCACAGGGTGGTAGTTCAAACCCACCCAGTAGTGCTAATGACTGGTGATCTGTTCCAGAAGAGATTACAGACTAGGGACGCTCTGGGGGCAGTTTTACCCTGTCGCATGTGATAGCTACGAGTCGTAATCGATTCAACGGCACCAACAATATCAACAACCTATTGAGACACGACTCTGAGCTACCCTGCGCCCTGAATTTAAATGTATTCGTTCCCTCAATCTCATGAGCCAAGGACAAGGCTCTTCCCCATTTTGCTAAAGAGGAAACAGATTTAAGAGGCTGCCCCTGAAGCAAGATTGAAATCCGACTCTGATTCTACACTCAACTTCATTCATGAGCAGGGTAGGGACTCCGAGAGGGCTAGGTCGCTTCTCCCAGCTTCCCTTGGGTGGGGAGAGGTGGAAGCAAAGAGCACCACTCCAGATGACCCCTGTCTCGCTTGGTCCCCCTGGCCCAGGCACGTCGGTGATGCAGGTGATGGCTTCAGATGCTGATGATCCCACATATGGCAGCAGCGCTCGGCTGGTGTACAGCGTGCTGGATGGTGAGCACCACTTCACGGTGGACCCCAAGACAGGTGAGGGGCGGGGCTAGAGGGCAGAGCCTGTCGGGAGGACTGGGGCCAGGTGGGTGGGCCTAGGACCATAGCCACATCTGCACTCAGCCGTCTATGTCTAGACTCTCCAAGCAGTGCTGGGGGCGGGGCTGCAGACTGGAGACCCAGAGGCCTCTTGCCTGCTCCAGCAGACGCCAGGGTCAGAGAGAGGGACAGACAGCCAGTCAAGAAAAAGAAAGGACTGAGGAACAGAAAATGATTTGGGGAGGGGAATCTGTAAGGCTTGCAGAGAGACAAAACGTCAGGAGACAGCAGTTGTGAGCGCCCTTAAAGGACTTTGGAAGTCTGAGTCCAGCTGCCTTTATTTGTCCTTGGAGCTAAATTGGGGGGGAGGGGGGGCTGCCCACAGCCCTAGGGGGTTCATCAGTATAGTTTGGCCTGGGAGGCGGGCGTTGAGTGTAGGACACCTTTTCAGTCCTGTTCACATAGTTTCACATGAGGATCTGCTGAAACATCGTTAGAGGAGAGAGACTGTTGTTAGACACCAGCAACTTCTTTTAAAACCCCTTCCCTAACAGCCCAAACAGTGGAGCCACCTCCTCACCTACTGTCCCTTACATGGTTTTATGACTAGGTTTCGGAGGGTCTTGGGAGAGACAGGGAGAACAGACAGCTGGAAGTGTCTGCCCATTCCCAGGGAGATGTCTCATGGCCCCCCTAGATATAGGAGGAACAGGGTAGGGGTGGAGTCAGGAAATGAGACTTGAGACTCCACAGAAGGCTTAGCAAATGTCCTCATGGGCTCAGTTCGCTGGGGACAGGGGACAACAGACACACAGACAGGAGATTAGGATGCAAGGCTTCTTGGAGGCATGAACAGAAGAAAGAACTCCAAAGGATGGTTCTGGGTGTTGGCCAGACTGAGATTGTAAAGAAGGGCATTCCAGGCAGAGGGCATGGTGCAGGCAAAGCTGGAAGGAAGAACAGCCTGAGACATGAGGGGAATTGTAAGCAACTCCCGGTTGTTGAGAAGTAAAGAAAGAGGCTGGCTGTGTAGAGTTTAAACCAAGCTAAGGCGCTTGTATTTTATCCTATGGGCAATGGGAGGGCGCATGAATGGATTTGGGTTTTTGTTTGTGTGTTTGTTTTGTTTTGTGTTCTTTTCCCCCGCCCCTCTCTCTTTTTGCAAAATACATTTTGGAAAACATTAAAGAAATTGTAAAAAAAAAAAAAAAAAACAACCACAAAACAAAAATGCTTTCTACCTCCAGTAATTGAAGCTCCAAAGGTAGCCACTTGGTGTATATATCCTATGAGATCTTGGAAAAATACTAAGGTTTTAAAAATAATGTATTTCAGTGTTCAAAATTCAAGAGTCCAAAGGGGTATTTAATGACAATTCTTTACCCCATCCAATCCCCCAGCCATCCAATGTCTGTCCCTAAGGCAACCAATGTAATTTTCTTGCATGTCTTTCTAAAGATATTCTATGCATGTACAAGAAAATAGGTACATGCACTTGTTCTTTTTTTTTTTTTTTTTTCTACATGAGTGGTAGCTATCCACACATATTCTACACACTGCTTGCCTTTTTTCACTTAACAATACATCTTGAAGATTATTCCATATCAGAACCTAAAGAGCTTCCTCATTATTTTAGTTAACTGCTGTTATGGATACTCTAACATTTATTTCACCTGTCCCCTATTGATGGACACTTGTGCTGTTTCCTATCTTTGCTACAAGGAACAATGCTGTAATGAATCACCTCGTATATACATCATTTTCTGTGTCTGAGTGTATCTGCAGGATAATTTTCGGGAAGTGGGAAAGCTGGGTCAAAGAGCATGTGCATTTGGAATCTCAATAGTTATTGCCCAAATGGGCCAGATTATACCCCCACCAGCCACATGAGAGAGCACCTGTTCCCCCTCCTCCTCCCCAACACGGTGTTCATTGATGGCTTTTAAGCAGGGAAGTGACATGCTCAGGATTTCATTTTAACAAGATCCCTCGGGCTGCTTCTGAAGAGAGTGGCTCCAAGGCAGGAACTGGAGGCAAGGAGACCCAGAGCCTAGGATGCCCACCATACAGTCCCAAAGGGCAGAAACCAAGAGCTTAGCCCTTTCTTGGTACCCACCCATGCTCCTTAACCTGCTTCCTCTAGCTAACAGGGCAGAGGTCTTAAAGGATTGGTAGTTAGGGTTAGCTGGGGTGCAGAGGAGGGAGAATGGGGATGTCAGTGAGATCTTGCAAAGAACAAATCCGTAGGACCTGGGCCTGGGTGAATGTACCTGACTCAGCTGAGAGAGGAACCCAGGAGGCTCGTAATTTGGGGAACTGGAGTGGGAACATGCATTACCTACAACAATAGGAGGAATGTGGATTAAAGAGCAAAGGAACTAGGGAATGTGTCCCACGATCTGCTGTAGAGCTAGAGAATCCAGTTTGAACCATATTGGGTTTAAGAGTGAGAAGAGAAAAGGAGGGAAGAAATCTCAAGAACATCTGTATGTATGGCTTAGCTGTCTGAGAATGGTTAGGGAGCCCTAGGCTTTGGTTTCCCCACGTGCTCAAGAAAAGTAATAATACCTACCTGACATGATTTTTGTGAGAAGATGATGGGAGAATTCATTCATCTACTCAAGAAGAATTTACTGAGTGCCTACTATGTCTCTGCAGTCCTTGGGTAGTGCTATTAATTAACATGCTTAGCCGCTAACCAAAAGGTTGGAGGTTCAAAGCCACCCAGAGGAGCCTCCGAAGAAAGGCCTGGCTACCTGCTTCTGAAAAATCAGCCACTGAAAACTCTAAGGAGCACAGTTCTACCTGTGACACATTTGGGGTCGCCATGAGTTGAAGTCAACTGGATGGCAACTGGTTTTCCAATGTGCCTGACTCTGCTTGAGGTCCTGGGGACACGGCAGTGGGAAACCAAACACCGTGCTTTCGTGGAACTGTGATTCAAATAAGGGAGGCAGAAAATAAGCCTATGACATAAAATCTAATGGCAAATGATGATGAGGGCTAGGAGGAAGCATCAAACAAGGTAAGGAGATGGACTTAGATGAAGAGCTCAGGACAAGCTTTTCGGGGGGTGGTGGCAATGGGGCAGAGACCTGAACACAGTGAAGGTGGGAGCCATATAGTGATCTCATGTTAGAGCGCTGTAGGCCAAGGGGACAGCAGGTGGGGAAAGTGGGCAGCAGAGTGCTTGATGTGTAAATGTCAATCACGGAAGGAGATGATGAAGCCTTCATCCATTTAGCAGGCGGAGGTGAAGGCCTTAGACTTGCTCAGCTTTCAGAGGGAGGAAGACAGAGGACACAGAAGTAGGGGAAGCGTCAGGACCAAGTCTTAGGAGGTGGCAGGGATGAGCAGATGACAAATTGGATTCTGAGAGACTGAAGTGGGAAGTCAAGTTCCAAGAAAGAACAGCCCTCACAACAGAGAATCAGGAGGAGTGGCCGGCCAGGGGTGTCCGGGAGGACAGGAACAGTTCCCATGATGCCTCGAGTTGAGCAGCAAGCAAGGCAGGTAAAGAAGTCCAGGTGGGGTCCTTGTTCTTGGGGGCTCTGGAGAAGCAGGGTCCCTCAAACTTTCTCAGTCTGAAAGGGTCCTTTAGACATTTTCTAGAAAAGACCAGATTTTTCCTCCCTGCCTACTGTAGCAGTCCCACTGTAGCAGCCACCCTGGTGCCATTCCCAGCCCCAGCTCCATTCCCCGGCCAGGAATATTCCACTGACGCGGGTCTATATTTAGCAGCTGCTGCGAGGTACAGTCTGTTCTTGCTGTGCAGATAGCAGGGAGCTGAGCCGGAACGGGGCCTGAGAAGAAGGTGTGAGGGAAGGGAGGAGGCGGGGCAACACGAGGCCCCAGTGCCGGTGGAGGAATTAACTTGTATGTTTTAAAGGCCAGGCCTGCTGGCAAGCTCCCTAGTTCCCGCCATCACCACACACACACACACACACACACACACACAGGTGACAGGGATGGTATTTGCTGGCTAATGAGACATCACAAAGGCTCCAAGTTTGGGGAGGGGGGTCTTCCGCAGCATTTGGAGGGAGCGTTAATAGGGGCATAGAAGACAACAGCTCAAAGTTGGGGGCAGGCCATGGTCAGGTTATAATTACCAACCCCTGACTACCACTACCTTGCACAAATAGCAAGAGTCTCTCTGAAACCTCAACATCACCGCTGAAAATTCCCAACTGGGCCAGAGATGGTGGTTTTCTCGGGAGGGAACAGAACGGAGCTAACACTTGTGGGCTGTATGCCGTGGAGTCAGAACCAATTCATAGCGACTCTGCAGAAAGCTTCATCTTTCTCCCACGGAACAGCTGGTAGTTTCGAACTGCTGACCTTGAGGTTTGCAGCCCAATTCGTAACCACTACGCTACCAGAGCTCCTTAACACTTGTGGAGAATCTTTCCAAGTGCCAGGTCCTAGGCTCAGGATGATGAACTGGACCTGGATTTTCCTTCTCAGAACTTGTAGTCTAACAGAGAAGCCAGAAACAACTACACCCAGGCTGAGAGGGAAGACAGGTCAGTGGATCAAAATGTTTATTGAGCACCTACTGTGTGCCAGATCCCATAGCTAAGATGATGACCAAGGCCAGCAGGAATCTCTGTCTTCATAGAACTTATTTATGAGGTACCTAAGCCAAGATTTAAGAAGAGGTACCTGTGGTG